TCACTGGATTTGTACTCCCCACTGGCTTGTAGCGGGGCCAGTTCCATGTTTAGAAACGGGGAAAGCCATGGTAGTCGATGGTGCCCCTTAAAATCTCAATAACTTTTTTCATTTTCTTCCAGGTGGCTATCAAATACATTGCCAAGGAGCGAGTCTTGCAGTTCCATCACATGGTGAGTTTGTCCCTCTCTACTGATTCTTCTCGGAGCTCCACTGCTGTGCTTGTTGCTTGATCGCTTGGACTACAGGTGGGGTGAAATGCTCACCAGCCTCTCTCTCTTTTGGGTTCCTTCTGCAGAATGGCACCCTTGTTCCTTTGGAAGTCCTCCTGCTGAAGAAAGTGTCGTCTCCGGGTTGCCGAGGCATTATCCGCCTTCTGGATTGGTTCGAGCAGCCCGACTCCTACTTCATTGTTATGGAACGGCCCCCTGCGTCTCGGGACCTGTTCGACGTCATCACAGACCGTGGGCCGCTCCCGGAGAATGTGGCTGCGAGCTATTTCCGACAGGTGGTGGAGGCAGTGCGCCATTGCCACATGTGTGGTGTGTTGCACAGAGACATAAAAGACGAGAACATTCTTGTAGACCTCCTGCGCCCGACTCCTACTTCATTGTTATGGAACGGCCCCCTGCGTCTCGGGACCTGTTCGACGTCATCACAGACCGTGGGCCGCTCCCGGAGAATGTGGCTGCGAGCTATTTCCGACAGGTGGTGGAGGCAGTGCGCCATTGCCACATGTGTGGTGTGTTGCACAGAGACATAAAAGACGAGAACATTCTTGTAGACCTCCTGCATGGTGACCTAAAGCTCATAGACTTTGGATCAGGTGCATTGCTTAGGGATTCTCCATACACAGATTTTGATGGTGAGTATGAAGAGGCCTGTATCTGATAGGGCTCAGGGGAAGATGGCTGCCTGTAGCCCGGGGGGGGGGCTGCTGTGACTCTCTATATAGCACCCTTTTCCAACCTTGGGTTGCCTAGATCAATGGTTCTTAACCTTTGTTACTCGGATGTTTTTGAACTGCACTCCCAGAAACCCCAGCCAGCACAGTTGGTGGTGAAGGCTTCTGGGAGTTGCAGTCCAAAACTCCTGAGTAACCCAAGGTTAAGAATCAGTGGCCTAGATGCATTGGACTACAATTCCCAGAGCATTATAGAGCTAGATTTAATGGTAATGTAGACCCACTGAATGAGTCGGACTTGGTAAATAAACATGAACTTGCATCCAAGTGATTTAGTGGATCTACTTTGGTTGGGATTTAACACATCTGAAAATCAGCAGATTGATGGAGTGGCATGGGTAATATTGACCTTGCTGGATTAAAGGACTAGGTAGGTCTAAATTAGAGGTGCACATATTTGTGGTTTTGGACCCCAACTCCCAGAATTCCCTAGGCAACATAGCCATGCTGCTTGGGGAATTCTGGGAGCTGTAGTCCAAAAACATAAATATTCATTCCCATAGTATAAAGATTCTGCACTTCAGCTTTGTTTTGGATGCGAAGAGTATGCATATGGGAAGAAAACCGAACACCAAGCTCTAAACTAGTGGTTCCCAACCTTGGATCTTCAGATGTTCCCTGGACTAAAACTCCCAGAAGCCTTCACGACTTTCATAGGGATACATTCATAAAAAGTAAGAAGTTGGGTCTAAAACATTGGGGAAGAACTGCTGGATAGTTCAGTGGTTTAGGTCTCTGGCTGTGGAGCCAGAGGCCGGGGGTTCAGTTCCCCACTGTGCTTTCTTGACA